GAAAAACAAAAAGGGTCGCTCCCATTTTCCTCATTCTTCTTGTCTTTCAAAAAGCCAACAAACTATGTTCCCATATTAATACACATAAAAACAACATATTCTCCAAGTTTGGACCATTGCTAAAAAAAAACAACAAAAAAAACAGGATGGCAAATTTTTTTTACTGTTTTACAACGGGGAGAGGGGGGAAGGGGTGCATTTTGCGTGAATCATAAGTGGGGGACTGTGGCTTGATTCGCTTGGTTCCAGTTTTTTCTTCTCCGCTGTTCAATTCATACCTCTTTGAAGGGGCAAGGCTTTTTTTTGACAATCCCCCAAACCAATATGGGTGCACCGGTATGTGATTTGACCAACGGGAACTCGTTTCTCTTTGGGGGACAATTGAAAAAGGACAGGGATTTTTGTTCTTAAACAAAAAACCTAAAAGCTTGAGGAAAATCCAATAAAAAAAAAAATCTTACTAAAATTTCCTATGGGGGGGGGGACCTTTTACTAAGTTTTCTTGTCTTGGGGTACCCAGGGAATTAAAATGGACTGAGAAGGATTGCCTATGAATTTTTAAAAAAGTTTGTGTTTTTTTTCCGGGTATCAACATAAAAAAAAAATAAAAAAAAAAAACCTATGTTATGGGGAAAAAAAATAAAAAAAATAACTCTCGTTATTTCTTTCCCCCAAAAAACTCCACGATAACGTATATTGTCAACGATTTATCTTTAATAAAATCCAGGTATTTTTTTCACAACATGATCTGCAATAAATTTGGGTGGGGGCGGGGACCAGTTATAGTTTCCAGGTTTGGGGTTTAGGGAGGCCCTTTGGGCCTTTAAGGGGCCTGGGGAAGGGGTGTGGTTTCATTTTTCAAACTCGGACACCTTCTTCCAACCGTCCTTTCCCCCACTTGATGGGGGGGGGACTGCTGTCATTGTTGGGTCCCTTGGGGGCAAAAGACACTTAACACCACTTGTTGCCCCCAAAAAGCCCCCACTTGGAAAAAAAGAATCAAGGCTTTCTCACCAACTCAGAGAAAAGGCAGCCGTTTTCCTGTGGATCAACCCATACCTGCAGGAGGGTCATGAGGTGGGTGGTTGGGTATGGAGGGGACCTTGGGTTGGCATCTTCTGGATGTGCCAACCCCCCTGGGGACCCAGAAATTGATTAAAAGGTAGAAAAAAAATGGGATGGATGTGAATGGATGGAATTTCTGCCAATTTATTTTTTTTTTTTTCTTTTACAGCTGGGCCATCTATAGGATGGGAAAGGGCAGGGTGTAGATCAAAAATATGCAGTTATTTATTTTTGTTAAAGTTGCTCCCACACAATCTCATATGCTTAAAAAACCGTGCACCAAAACATACAATTTAAACATTTTAAAAAACTAATTTCCAAAGTTTACACAGAAAAAGGGAAAAACACTGGAAGGAAATAGGGGAGGAGTTTTTTTTTGGTTGCAGGGACCCACTATCGGGACAGACCTTCCGGTCAGGATAATTTAATAAATCAGGAAATTTATGGGGCAAGGTTTTAGGGGGCAGGGTGAAAATCCATTTTGTACATTTGTATTTGTTGTTTGAAAGTGGGCAATAATGTTGTGTGTGGGGCTATGGTATTGGGAAGGGGGGCCGTTTCCCGCACCATGTAAAAAAAAAAAAAAAAAAAAAGGGGGCCTTTTACCAGGGAAAAAGTCTAAAATTTTTCGACTTTTAAAATAAAAAACCTCAAAATTTTCGGTCTTTTCCAAAGTCAAAAAAAAAATTTACGAAGTTTTCAAAAAACTGGAACATGGGCGCAATACGTAATTGTTATTGTTGTCTGAAAAACGGGTTCTCTGGTCATTCCCTATTATAGGGATCATGGGGGGACATGGGTCATCCTATACCTTGGCAGGATTATGTGAAGGAAATTTTTGCCATTACCCAAGAGACAGTTGGGGACACCAACCATTCCATGGAAAAGTAGCCAGCCTTTAATTGGTTGTGGTTAATAATGCCGTTAAAAAATGGCATTAACGGTCTTCTTCGTTTGTGATTATTAATCCGCCTCAGAAATAAGGCCCCTTAATTTTTAAGGTTTATTTCCTAAAAAAACGGGGACTGGTGGAAAAGGATTAATTCAAAATAAAAAAAAAAAAAAAAAAAAAACCCACCATTGGCGGGATGGTTAAACAAAAGTCATTTGGGAGGGCATTTCCAAAACTTGGGTTTGCATCTGGTCAGTATTCACGGGGCTAATCGATGGGGATGCCCCAGAAAAAAAATGCAGTGGATGGATAATTGTGGAAATGACAGAGGAGGAACCTTTTTCGCAATGGGATTGGGGGGGGAACAGTGAGAGGGTAAGGGTTTCCGCAGGACAAGAGGGGCAGGGGAAGAAAAAAAAAACCACCAGTACATGGGCACTGGACCAATAAATTAAAAATAAACAAACTTTTTGGGATTTTGCGGATCATGTGGCATTGAAGGGAAGTATGTGTCGTTGTTTGCGTTTGCATGCCGGGCCGAAACGGTGGGGGAGGCGGGCTCTTTGGGGTGAGAGTGATGGGATCGGGCGGTTGGGGGTAAAATTTGATGGCGTATGAGTCAAAGAAACCACAGGAGTATAGGGAAACCCAAAAGTTTGCATTTGTCTGATTTAATTTTTTTTATTGTGGGGCGACCAAAAAAAAGAAACTTTTTTAAGCAAAAAAAACAAATCGGAAGAAAAAAATAAACTCAGGCAGGATAAACAGTGGGAGGGTTCTTTTTGGAAAAAAAAAAGGGGGGGGAGTTAAAACCCAATTATAGATTGCATGAAAATAAAAAAAAAAAAACTCCATTTTTTACTCAACAGTTAGGGAAAAAAGCGGCCCATCCTTCACCCTTGGGGAAAAAATTAAATCGCTCGTGTGGGGACCCCTTCTCTAGCCGTATTCGGTCTGACAGAAAGTGGGGTCTTAGCAGATAGGTTTGGACTGGGGGTTCTCGATGGCTTCATTTTTTACTCTTTTGTTTTTTTTTATAAAAAAACATTATAGCTCCACCATTATTTGTTTTATTTTATACTCTGGTCAAAAATAAGAAGGGTCGGGGTTGGCAGTTTTAAAGGTTGGTTATATATGTAAATTTGAAAAAAAATTTAACATAAATAAATTAAAAAAAAGAACAATTTCTCCTCTGCGAGCCTACAACGTCCGGTCTGGGGGTTAAAACAGGAAAGTTTTTTTTACAAGAAATCAATCAAATAAAAAAAACAATTTAATTTTTCTGGGGCTACTTCATGGGATTGATGCAGTGGGTCACCTGTAGGCAATATTCTTCAACATAAATTCTGGCATGTTGAAAGGATGTTTTCCAGAGAAACCGTTTTCAGACAAACACATGATAATTAAAATTTACTAGTAATTTTGGGGGACTTTGTAAAAAAGTCTTATATTTTTTTGAGGTTTTTTGTAAAAAAACTCAAAAAAATAAATTTTTTTAAAAACTTTCTTGTATGCTTTTTTTTTTGAGTTTTTTTTACAATGGGGCGGGAAAAACGGGGGGGCTTTCATTTTACTAAGGGAAATAGACAAAAGGAAAAAACACGTTATTTTGGGCTAATTAAAATAATAAATAAAACCAACATTAAAAAAAAATCAATAAAAGAGGCGTATAGTGTTCTGGGCTAGTAGGAAACACTTAAAAATTAAGTCATAAAATTAATAACATTTAAAAAATACCAACAAAAAAAACCATAGTTTTTTTCCCTTTAAGGTTCTATTATAAAAAAAGTTGCATTAAAATTACGTAATAATAAAGGTTAATTGTAAACCACCAAAAAAAACCAGGAGGGTAAGTCAAAAATGGGGGAACAAACTTTAAAAACATTTACAAAAGGTGGCAAGGGAAAGTAAATTAATAATCGGCCATAAAATTTGCTTTAATGTAGGGCCATTTAGACCTTAAGCTTTTAAATTAAGTGCAAGGGTGGGGACCAAAAAACACCGGAAAAAAAAACTCTCTTTTGGCCAAAAAATAATGTCAAAAAAAAAATACCCACCATGTAAAAATCTTTTTTTTACCTGAATCTTCTAAAAGATCCACAAGCTTACAGAAAAACTTCCTTCTTGGGTCATAAAAAAACGCACAGACATAGTTACAAAAAAGTCTTTTTCCCTCCGGTTTCGCTTAGTGGTCCTTTTTGATGCTCCAATAAGGCAAGGCGGGGGTTCTATGGTTAACACCGCCGGTCGGTGTTGTGAAAAAGCCAAAACCATTCTGTGGTGAAGGTTTTTTTCAGTTTTTGCAAGAACACGTAAAGATGAGGTTTGTTCGCATAGCCTTTTCAGTTGACAAAACACAGCAGGGACTGGGATTTAGGCCACGAATTTGGACGAAAAATGGGCATTTTTGCCTTGCTCTAAGTGAAAAAGAATGTAATTGGAGATATGAAAAAAAAAAAAAAAAAAAAAAAAGGGGCATTATCGTTCCCAAATATTCCTTTTTGCGATATTTATCGACTTAACCAAATTTTTTAATCTCGCCCCACCCCTAATTCGAGGCAAACACCATTTCAAAACAGTAATAATTTACATTTGCCTTTCCTTTTCAGCATGTTGGGGATCTTTCCATGGAAACCGTTTGTTAAAAAAACATGGTCTTTTGACGATTTTTTTGTGCCAGGGGTTCCGGCGGCAGAGCTATTCCTCCGACGTTTTATAACCCAACCTTAAAAACCTTTTACTATGGAGGCACCCCAAAAAAACAACCTCTCAGGGGCTACCCCAGCAAAAAAACTCCAACCCTTTCCCAGTGCGGCTATTCGTTTCAGTTTTACTATTACCAGGAAAACCAAAAAAACCCAACCCCCATTTCCAAAGCAACAGGGGGGAACGCCTTACCTGTTAAATCACCTCTGCTCCCCCACTTAACAACAAGTTTACCCCTTGTGCCCTTCTTTCCCCAACGTGGCCACCGGGGGCCTCTGCCCGGGGGGGGGGAGTATTACAGTCAGGCAAGAAAGTGCTATTAAACACCCACCAGAGTCTACCACAAGTTACCAAGGAGGCCTACGGTCGCTGCTCCTCTGCGCATCCCCAAGCCATAAGGCAAGCAGTTACACGAACACCCCCGCCTCTTGGCCTGTGCTTGCCCGGCCCCCATCCCAACCCCCGGCGCCCCCAGAGCAGCCTGGGGCGGGGCGCTGGGGCCGTTTTCCAGGGGGGGAAATCTGCCCACCTTGGCACCAGTAACCACGGGCCTGTGAGGCGAAAACATCCAGTGAAAAAAAGCAAAGGGCAAGTGCCCCACCCCCACTTGGGGGGCCCCAGGGGGCAAAACCTGCAATCCAAACGGGGGCAGGCGCAGGGCTCCACGTATGAATCATATTAATAAAAAAAAAAAATAATTAAACCATTGTTATTAAAGATTAGGCGGCACCGGGCCAGCCAAAGGGCTCGGAAAATTCCCCCAGGGGTTCAGGGGGGAAGGCCCGCAAGTCCTTTGCGGGGGGGTTGACCAAGGGCACTTTTTTTTTCGATGGGAGGTTTTGAGGCGGTTGGAGTAGGCGGGGGATCTGGAGGGCCAAGCCACAAGGGGAGAAAGACAGGTCTGAGGTGAGGGGGAGGTTGAGGGACTTGGGAAGGGGGGGGTTCATGTTATGAAGAGCCTTTGTGGGGGTCAATTTTGGAGGAGAGGGGGAACCATATTATTTTTTCCGGTATGGGAAACTTGGAGGCCCAAGTGGGAGTTTATTTGAGGATCGGGGGGGGAAGGATGTTGGTCTTTTAGGAGCTTGTGTTGGGTTGAGGCAGGGTGGGGCAAGCAGGGAAATTCCGGGGAGAATCTTTTGAAAGTTTTTTTTTATTTTAAAATAAGTTGGGGGAGAGAGGTCAATAGGAGGGAGGGTATTTTGCTATTTAGTTTGGAGGGTCTGGAGGGTTTTAATTGAAAAAAGGATTGGTAGGCTTGGCAGAAATTTTCTGTTATTTTGGGGGAATTAACCCAGTAAAAACAAACTCCAAAAGCACAATTATTGGCTATCGTTTTTAACCATAGCTTCAGGTGGGCGTCTGGATAGGGTTAACCCATACTGAAAAAAAACAAGTTGTTTGGGGGCGGGAGTTGGGTTTTCACATGCACCAGGCCTTTAAGCTGTTTAAAGTGGGGGGCCGGGGGCCCACTTTTGCGGCGATTGAGATTCCAGGCTTTAGGTGCTTATTTTGGACTGCGGGCCCAAATTGGGACTTGGGGGCATGGGTTTTGTGCAATGTGGGGCCTGAGGGCTCGGGATCTAAAAAAAATCCCCAGATTTTTTGAGGGGGGTCCCAACGTTGGAGGTTGGGTGGGGGGGGGACTTGGTGCATTCCACATTTTACGTTTTTCTTTGTTGGGGAAACCCCAGTGTGGACGCGCATTTTCCCACCACACGGGGTCTCTCCCTGGCACTTTTGTATTTCTCCGCTTAAAGTTGTTATTTTAAAAAAAAAAACCCTTTCAATATAAGCCCTGGGGGGGGGGGGGGACCCATGGTGAGGGGGGCGCAGGGGGGGTGGTGTGGTTCCCTACGGATTTTACTCCTCCTTTTGGTTCTGGGGGGGACCCCCGCTTTGTCCAACAGTGTGGTGGCTAGTTTTAGTTTTAGTTTAGTAGAGCTATTGGGCAATAAAAAACTTTCAGGGGGGGACGTTCAAAGAAAATCAGGGGCGTGACCTGTTTATTTTAAATCGCAAGGAAAAACCACACCCCAAAATAAAACATTCCACTTGTAAATCCTGGCCTTGGGCTACGGGTTCGTCTAGCTCGTTTATCCGCCACACTTTTTCCATTTCTTTTCATTTCTAATTTTTCATTCATGTCTCAGCGCTCTTACGCTCATTTTTACTAAAGTAGGCGGCGCAAAACCGCTGTGTCCGTTTCCGGGATGGTTTGCGGCACCACAGGGGGAACGACACCACAGGACAGGGCAACTGCTTTGCACTTTTGGCATCAGGTACAACGGTTTGATTCAAAGTGTAAAGGATGGGGTCTTTCCCCAAAAACAAAAAAAAAAACGGCGGAATCCGTTTTGCTCGAAAAAAAACTGTTAAGTGCACAGTAGCAGGGAAATGTAAAACAGGGGAAGAGAAAAAAACGGGAACGAGGTATTTTTTGCTTGGAAGTTTAGTTATTTAGTGCCACAAAGGGGCATGGGGGGGGGGGGGAACCGAAGCGTTTGTTTTTTTTTACTTTACAGCACATTTGGCTTGAGGAAGTGAAGGAAAAAACCCATCCCAGGGGGAAAGGGGGGTAGGAAGCTTTGCCCACCCAGTTACACAATAGCCACCAGGGTGGCCACTTCATTGATACCTCTTGGCAAGGGTGGTTGAGGGTTTTTCCCCAACAGGGGGAGTTTGAGATCTTTTTTTCAAAGCGGGGGGGCTTTAGGGGCAAATGTTTGGGGGGTTAAAGTGTCTTTTTGACCAAAAATGGACCCAGTGGGAGTCGGTGAAAAGTTATTGTGGGGTTTACGTTGGGGGTGGGTGTCGGCAAAACCACAAAAAAAAAAAAAACCTTCTGGGCTCTAAGGGCCCAAAATGCTCTTACCAAAAACTTGAGGCCCACTGTTCGCCCATTTTTTGTAGGGCACCTAAAAAGTATAAAATTTTTTGTACCTTAAACTTATGCAGGCGGAAACATACGGCATTTCCTAAATGCTTTTTTTTATTAAACTTACAAATTTAGAAGTCTGGGGATAATTGGGGTTGGTGATGGTTAATTTTTTTCCATTTTCTTTTTGCCAAAAAAATTTCAATCTCTAGTTTCGTTCAGGTTTTGATAGGGGTTTTCAACAGGACTTGGGTTCCAAAACGTTATCATTTTGTTGATTGTGTGCAGAAAAAAAAAAAGAAAAAAAAAAAAAAAGGCTTTGTTTTCCGGCAATTTACGCTCCCAGTTCAGCTATTTTCTTTGGTGTAAAAGTGCGCTTTGGAATAGGATGAACATTGCACCGTGAAGAAACATCTTTTTAGGGCAAAAATTTGTTTGGCTTGGGATTGGGTGTAGGGTCTTTTTTGGAGGATAGGGTGAGTCTGTGGGCTTGGGGGGAACTATGGGGGACTGTTTTCATTCGTCCTGGCCGCCTCTGGGTTATCTGGGGTGAATTATGTCTTGGTCTGCCACTTTGCGGGGGCCATTAACTTAGAAACTATTCTTTCCATTCCTCACAAATGTTCCTGACAGTTAAACAAAAAACCGGGAAGCTTTGAATGGGTGGGTTGTGTTTGATATTGGGTTGTTCCCAAGCCCCAGGAGTAAGGAGGTTTCGTTTTTGGGGGGCTGAAAAAAAAAATTTTCAAAAAAACCCGAAAAAACCCGGCCCGGGAGGGGGGGTGCCGTAATTTACTAAGCCCGAGGGGGGCAGGGATAAAGTCCGACCAAATAGAAACGCTGGATTAATAGGGCCCGAAGGGCCCGGGGGGGGGGACAGAAAAGGACCGACCTTATATTTTCCGGGAATTAAATTATATAAAAAAACTGTTAAAAGGGTTAATTTAAAAAATGCAACATATTTAGAAAAAAAAAAAAACAAGCAAGGGAGGTATGGATTTAAAAACCCCATTACGAAAGGTTCTTTTTATTAAAAAAAAAAAGTATATAGAAGCGGACAAAAAAAAAAAACCCAATAATTGAAATTTTTAAAAAACAAAAAGTAAGCATATAAAAAATATAAAATCTTTTCAACCAAAAAAAACCCCACAAAAAAAAAAACTAAAATTGCTTTTACCTAGGCCTATTTAAAAATATGGGTGTAATATTTTACAAACCAAACAAAACAAATATGTTCCCAAAAACTTCAAAATTATAGGGGGGACCCAAAGGCGTGTTTTGGAAAAAAAGAGAAAAAAAAAACTTTTTGGTCCGTAATTTACTAAATAACACACTAAAAACAAAAAAAAATTATATTTCATTAAAATTATTATATTATATAAAAATAAATCAAATTGACAATGGCCCATGGATGAACAATAAAAAAAACATAGGGAATTTTTTAGGGGAGGAGGGGAAAAAAAAACAGGACATTGCGGGACTTCAAGGGAAAAAATAAAAAAAAACCAGCAAACGGGGGCCTCAGCAGCCAACCCAGTTTATCTGCCGTAATTTAAAATATATAAAATATTTTGGGTCAGTTTCCTCCACCCACATAAAAAAAAACTAAAAATAATTTGTTTAACATGTTTCTTTTTACGGCGGTACCTTACGTGGGGTCCTTTTTCTTAAAATTTCGCGTCATGAAGAAAAAAAAAAGTAATAGCATTCCCCGGTTTTTTGTAGAGGGGGTTTAAGGGCTGACCTTGCGTTCCCACTGGATTGGTGCGGGTGGGGGGGGCCGCTGCGGTGGAAAAACCCGCTTCAACTTGCTTGCTTTGCTGCTCGCAGGGATGCAGAGAGCACCGATTTTTCCAGGTTTGGGAATTTAGTTTTTAGGGTAACCACATTGGGAGTTTTTTGGGATTCTTCCCAACAGCCCAGTAAGTTCTCCTGTCAACTTTGCCATTTGGGGCATGCTTTTTTGAGTTGATGTTAGAGGGGGACACCTCATCTGATCGGGATGTCACCACTGGTCATTCGTTTCATTTTTCCCCACTTTCTGGCCAAAAAACGTCGGGGGGACAATCGGGCTTCTTTTTGGATAGCAAAGGTGCTTGTTGTGGAGGAGGGCTGGAAAAACTTTGCTTTCATGTCAAGCAGCAAAAGCGGGCTGGATTCCCCCGGGGGGGGGACTCCTCCCAATGATTGGAGTAAGGGTGAATGTTGCGGAAAACTGGGGCATTGGACAAAACGTTGAAAAGACGGGTCAACAGTGAAAATTTTTAAAGGTTATGAAATTTTTAGGCCAAGGACAAAGTGCCCACCTTTTATGAAAATGTGCAGTTAGGACTTTTTTTTGTTCCAAAAACATTATCTGGCAGGGCTGTCTTGCGCCCCACAAAAATGCCTTGCTGTGCGGGGGGGGGGGAGGGTTTTGGGGAGAAATCAGGGGGGGCACGTTGGGTGACGCTTTCCAGGGCTTCTCAACACCAAACCAGGCCCAAACAACAAGGTTTAAAATTGGGGAATATTTGTCCCCTTTCAAGGTTTGCCCTTCTGTGGCGCAAATAAAAAAAATGGTTTCAAAAAAAACTACTTATTAAAAAAAAAAAAAAAAAATTCTAAACGTGGTTCTGGGGGGGGGAACAATATTGTCTATGGCGCTCTTTGTTCTCCGTAGGATTGCCATTGGAGTTATTCGCTTCAAACTCGGGGAACCAATCCAGCCAAAACTGGGAACTGGAGGGGTAACGATATTACGTGCCGGGGAATTTGGTCTCCAGCCATTTGCCAGAAAACAGTCTTTGAGAGTCTTGTGCAGGCCAAATTCCCAGGATTGTTTTCAACGTTGTCTGGGGGGGGGGCAAAGGTGATTTTTGGGGCCGCTGCAGTTTTTTATTGTTTTTCTCGGCTGGATTGTTTTCTGGAGCGTTTTTGCGGGAGGGTTGTTCGCCATCCAGTTCCGTGGGCGCCTGGGGCACCGTTTGGTTCAAAAAAGAGGGTGGAAACCAGGGGACAGGGAAAAGCCCTTTTCTCTTATATGGGCTCCAATTGCTTTAAATTGATGTTGGCTTCCCTTGATTGTTC